AAATTTGATCTGAGGATTCTTATAATCCTTAACTGCTATAATTGGTAAAAGAAAATACAAGTAAAAGGAGAAAAAAAACCCCAATAAGAATGATTAAACACATCAAGTACGAACTTGTTTGCCTACAAAACAAAACAGAAGCAAGATGGGACAAAATCGGAGTGCATAGACACTAAATATAAGGTCACAAAAGTTGGATATTAAGTCGAGAAAACAATGTTAGTTGGAGCTCTGTTACCTCTTTAACTTCTTTAAATATTCGTGCAAACTCCTCGTTAATTGTTAGGCTTCTCCTTTCTATGTCTCCTCGCAGGTTTCTCCTGGTGCGCAGACTGTTTTCGGTGAAGAACACAGAGAGCGCCTTTAGAGCCTCCAGCATCTCCTGAAAACACAGAAAAAAATCAAATCTAACCTAAAGGTGCTTTTTATTTAAAACGTTATTGAACAAGAGTTCACATCTATTTAAAAGATAAATAAAAAATGAATAAATAACCGTAGTCACGTCTTTATGACTCATAGTTATTTTCATATTATTCGATAGTCGATTACATGCATGTATACAGTAAATGAGATGGCCAAATAAAAATAAGGACTATAATGCTAACGCTAATTGCTAAAATACACGGTATTATCTTAGCGACGTTGTTTTATTGGTCAGAAAAGGTCAGTAACAATGATATAAGTGTGTTCTCCACTAATTAATATAACAAAACATCAAAAAGCTGCACTTAGCCTGCTAGCACAGTAAGCTAAATACATTCCAATATACCTTATCATTATCGAGTCGTGTCTCCAGAATTTTATTCAGCTTCCTCGATAAGGGGTTATTGGGCTGAGAAGGTACATTTGAACTCGAAGATAAACTGGAGCTATCGACCGAACTTTCTATTTTAGTATTTGCCATCGTACAAATGCAAATGTTCTTCCACGTCAACTCAATTCCGAAGACTGTTTTGGTCCGTCTGGAATTGAGGTTCGATCGGAGTTAGTAGGAGCGACACAACGTTCCGGAGAGCACTGATTTCTCCAACCCTTTAAAATAATAAACTTTACCTTTATAAAAGCAATTACTGGTGAAAACAATTAAACGTAACGATGATATTACAGAAATAATATATTTCTGTGATCAACATATTCTGCAAGTCCTAATTCTAACAAAATAAGAGTCAAAATTAAACGCCTAAGTATTTTTCCAAATGTGGAGATGAAGTAACTGAATGTTTTTGAATGTGTTTTTTATAGCTCGATTTTAAAATATTTCTAATTATTAAAAATAAAACACGCAAACAATAATAAAAACGACCAATAATTCAACTTTAGTCATGTATTTCCGTTTTTTTAAGTATTGGAACCGATCTGTAAATTATGTCAAAAAAAGAACCAAATACTTTAATGAAAAATTTTCATCAGCAAAATTTTAAGTCCTTCTGATATTCTCACTCCAACCTGAAGTTATTATGGTACTATTAGACTTAAATACATGATACGTTTCTATGTTTTAAGGTAGGCAAAAAGAAATAGGAGCAAAAGAAATAGGGACTCCAATCCCTGGGTCAGGGGCGGAGCTAGATGGGTGGCCAGGGGTGGCCATGGCCATCCTTAGGCAATTATTGGCCACCCCTGTGGCCACCCCAACCATTTATTTCCCTCTAATGCAGAAGGTGGCAGCAGTAATACTCTCAAGTGGAATATTCAAAAAATTCAAAATTTTTTGGTTAATTATACACATAAAAAAAAAAAAATTAAAAAATTTTTTGGTTAATTATACACATCAAAGATAATATGTAAAGAAATCATGCTCTTTTCAGAACTAGATTTTGTGTTATATGGGACAAAGATAGAATTATGTGTCTATCTAGGAGTCTTCAGTGAAATTATAGATAAACAAATTTAATAAAAAGTTATCAAATATTCAATTCATGTTTAAATACAGCAAAGGCTGTGGGAAAGTATAGTTTGTCTTTAGTTAAAAAATATAGATGTTTTGCTTGTTAATTGTCCTGTTGGAACAGTGTAGTTTGACCCTGAGGTTCTAGTGCCTATCCGCTTTCGGCCACCCCTCAATGTACTTTGGTTTTTGTACGGAAGAGGATTAGAGCCCCTGAAAAAAAAAAAAAAAAGGTTAACTGATTTTTACATTTTATTCATTATAATATGAGAAGTCGGAATTCTGAGGAAAAAAGTCAGAATTCTGAGAAAAAAGTCAAAATTCTGGGATTAAAGTCAGAATTCTGAGATTTAAGTCAGAATTCTGAGAAAAAAGGCCAGAATTCTGAGAAAAGCGTCAGAATTCTGAGAAAAAAAGTCAGAATTCTGAGATTACAGTTAGAATTCTGAGATTAAAGTCAGAATTCTGAGATTTAAGTCAGAATTCTGAGAAAAAGTCTGAATTCTGAGATTAAAGTCAGAATTCTGAGATTTAAGTCAGAATTCTGAGAAAAAAAGGTCAGTATTTTGAGAAAAGAGCCAGAATTCTGAGAAAAAAGTCAAAATTCTGAGATTAAAGTTAAAATTTTAAGATTAAAGTCAGAATTCTGAGAAAAAGGTCCGAATTCTGAGATTAAAGTCAGAATTCTGAGAAAAAGGTCCGAATTCTGAGATTAAAGTCAGAATTCTGAGAAAAAAAGTCCGAATTCTGACTTTTTTCTCATATTATACAGAAATACAATTTAGAAATCTGTTAACGATTTTTTTTTTAATATTTTCAGTATTTCGGCCCCCCATTTAAAAATGTTCTGGCTACGCCTCTGCCCTGGGTGAGGATTTGTGTGATTGATGGTCACCTCCCTCCAAGCAGCGTTTCATGCGCCTCCTCCCACCTCCTCCCCCCTCTCCCTCTCTCTCTCTCCCTCTGAAAGCAGGAATGTGTGATCTGGAGTCCGCCTGATCACTGAGCACCGCTCCTCTCGTCCTTCTCGCACCAAGCAGGAGTAAATCATTGATTCAAGCTCTCGCTGTTAGACATTGGCGTGGAAGGATTCTGCAGTGACTTTTTCTATATACCGTATTTTGGATCCACTCTTTACTCGATCGGAATCGTTTTCTCTCCTCCTCGGCTGGAGAAAAGTTTGCTTTCAGACCCAAACACAGCTGGACTCCGCAGATGTAAACAGCCGCTATAAAAGAGCGCACCTTAAAACCCCCGCGTCTTCCAACATGTAAGATTTTAACCTTTTAATCTGCCTTGTAAATCTTTTCAGACAGAAACAGTCAAAGCTAAAATGTGTTGCATGAGGTCACCCCTAACCAGAAATCACTGCATGTTCATGAAGAAGTGGCAGCTCCTGCAGGGACCTGATTCCTCAGCCAAATGTTTCCAGGGTCAGTTGATGTTGGTGGTGCATAGTTAATTAATGATCCATAAACCACAGTGTGTAAAGTTTTACTATGACACGTGTACCTGTGTGTTATAAACATGCACATTACTATGAATGAATTTGAAACGCAGTGTTCTTTTTTTAACAAATAATCATATCTTATGGGATATGCTGCATTAAATACAACTACATCAAACATGTTATTAATCCTGCAAGCTGCACCAAAAATATTTATATAACATTTTTGTAAGAATGCACTAAACAATTAACCAGAGATGGGAGGTCTAAAAATTAGGCCATGAAAGACTCTGTTAAGTGATCAGGAAGTACTGAAGTTATACTTGTTTTTTCCTTTTCTGCAGATAAGCATGTATTTTTTTATGTTTTGTTTTTGCAGATAGGGAGAAACATGCAATGTCTTAGTTTTTCTTTCGGAAACAACGATCTCTGTCAAAAACTTGCATAATATTTGATTATTTTCTGTGTTATACTTATTTGACTACTGGAATAGGGCAAAAAGGGGGTTTATTAACATTCCTGTATTGCAGATAATTGAAAAGACAAAACAGTCCAAATTTCCAGTAATATATCCAAAGGTTCAGTATTTTTAATTTTTTATTGAATTGATCAAAAAAATGAATTTCCATCATATAAAGCCTATGAACATGCTCATCTGTGCCATATAGTTTGCTAAAAATGTTAAGTTTCATAAGGCAGTCCCTATGGATTCAGAAAACTGCTACCGTTTTATAAAATATACGGCTAATTTAACCTTGTAAAACTGTTTTCTGTCTCTTGACAACATAAATAAATAAAATAGCCTAATTGAAGAACCAGAAACCTAAATTAGCCACAAAATGCCTTTATCTTTGCATTTCTAATTTATCAGGGTTAAAAAAAAAAAAAAGAAATAAATGCATGGGATGTAAAAAATTACTCTTTTATTTTGCTAATCTAAGTTAAATTGATTAAACAATTTGCTTGAGTTTGAGTTAAATCATGACAACGGTTTGTTTACCATTAATCAAATCACAATTATATTTAATCTATAAGGTTTTGGATCTTAACATAAACAACAGCAGTTTCTCTAATGCATTTGTCTATATTTAATTATGTTTTTATATAAAAAACAGCAATCAATTATAGGGTCTTACTAAGCTAGTAAAGAAGTTTGCATAATTAGAAATATTACCCTCTGACACTTTCTGTTTTGTATTTATGCTTTTGTAAAGACTGCATAACACTATTTAGTTTTATTTTCCCTCATCTTGCTAAATTAGGTTTCTGGTCTATAACTCCACAGCTTGTTTTAAGGAAGCATCTGTGAAGCAGCTCTCAATCTATATTTCTCCTCCTCCTGACAGGGATCCAGAGTCACTGAGAAGGTGAAGACCACAAGTGTTAAATGTTCACTGCAAGCCCTCCAGCAACACAGCAACTGCTCATTTAACTGCTGTCCTGCTCAGTGACTATATTTACGATGGCGTCTAGTCTTACGTGCACTGGTGTTATCTGGGCCCTGCTGTCACTCCTGTGTGCTGCTGCCTCCTGCGTTGGCTTCTTCATGCCGTACTGGCTGCTGGGAACACAGATGGACAAGCCTGTGTCTTTTGGCACCTTCCGTCGTTGCTCATACCCGGTACGAGATGAGGAGAAACAGATCACGGTCATGGTGGAGCAATGCGGCCGCTACGCCTCCTTCCATGGCATCCCGAGCCTGCACTGGAGGATCTGCACAGTGGTGACGGGCGTGGGATGCGGCCTCCTACTGCTGGTGGCCCTCACAGGTGTGATGGGCTGCTGCATCTCTGACCTCATCTCTCGTACGATCGGACGCGTGGCCGGTGGCATCCAGTTCGTTGGAGGTGAGCAGTTTGGTTTCTTCTGGGATCAACTATCCAACTCTGATTCCTGTTTTCTGCTTTCTACTTTATAAGTCCGTGGTGTGCAAAAAAAAAACTGTTCATACAAATTAACCATTAATTAGACCAAAACAATCCGAATGCAACTTGTAAAAGCATAGGTTTGTCTTAACCTAAACCTTCTTGTACCTAAAACATCTTAAGTTTGTTTTTATTAGGATTCTATTCAATAGACCAACATAAGGAGGCACATAATTGTAAAGTGTGTAGAAAATTTTACAGAGGTTTAATATTTCTCTTATACTGTATTCAATTCCCTGTCCTCTAGTACTCAATACTCAAAAACAAGATCCAGCGAAACACATTACCTGTATAAATCACCTAATTAGCAAATGCAGTCCACCAAGTTGGACTGTAATATAAGTATAAAAACATTTATTGGTTCGATAAAATCGTTGTACGCACAGCCCCATAAACATGAAAAACAACAGCATATGGCTTAGGTGTAAAACTGGGTTGTAAAACAAGGGCTGGGTTATAATACATTGTTAGAAGCTTTGGGACTCTCAGAGAGCAGTACTCAGTTCATCACCTCACATATGAAAAGAGTGAGCAGTGACTGCCAAAGGGGGAGATGAGTTTAAATCAGAGCTCCCCAGAGATCTGTAGCCAAGGTAAAAAAAATAAATAGTTGACCGGACACTCCACAAATCTCCAAGTTAAGGAATGGTCACTGTGGAAAGAAAACCATAGGATGCCCAGGCTAATGCCTCCTTAAGTCACATGAGGAACAGAAATGTGGGGGAAAGTGCTCCACTTTGATCAATATTGGAATTGCTGGCAGTATGAGCTGAAAAGTTAGACTTTACTTTACTCTGAAAACTCAACCTTAAACTGACTTAAATTTGGAGATGGCAGCATCCTGATATGGGGATGTTTTTCTTCAGCAGGAAAGAGTAATGAATCTACAGTACATCCTGGAAGCAAAGCTTCTAGATACAGAAAAAAATTTAAGACTAACCCCTAATTTACATAGCGTCCACCTACTCTAATCCCAGCTGAAAAATGCAGAGCAAGTACGCAACAATTATACTCACTGAACGCAATAGTAGCGTCTCTAAATAGCAGTGACTAAATTGAACAATCTGTGAAAAGACCAGAAAAGGGAAAACTTTTTTAGTTAATGCTTTTATCGAATCAAACTGTTTCTGAGCTATGTTGGAAAGAAATATGAGAAAAATGTGAGAATTGAAAAACCAATAGAACAATAGTCAGAAAGATTGGCAGCTTTAATGACAGGAAAGTTCTGTTTTATAGTTTAGGAATTCAAAGATTATCCATCCATATCATTTTTAACTTCTTCGTATTAATGCATCTCAAGTCATATGTCAAACTGTTGAGTACTTTTAGAGCCATAAATAAATACTATTATAAAGGTGATGAATTGTATTAAAACAGTTTTTTTGGGATTTTAACAAAACGGTGGTGAGAAAACAAAGATGTATAAATATTGTAACCTTTTTTCCTGCTGTTCTTTCCCAGTAAACCCGCTGTTTCCTCTCTTACTCTGTTGCACAGGAAATGAAGTCTCTCTTTGAGCTCTCAATTGTGCCTCTAAAGTCCTTTTGATAGTTTTGATGTTTTATGCAGACTGCTGTTTTCTAATGAAGCCAAATTGTTGGGAGGGTTTTTAAAGCATATCACATCAAGCTGGATAACTAATGAAGGAAAAGCTTGCTGTATTTGCAGTGTGTGACTGCACGTGGGTTACATTTGAACACTTGGCCTTTTTGCATACCGAAATCTTTGCTTGTAAAGGTAAGGAAAGCCATTAGGGTTGCAGATAAACTAAAATTCAGTTCTGTTTGATTCTTTAAGTTTAAAAAAGTCCCTGCTTCCTTTATGTTCCCAGAGAAACAGACTTCTGTCAATGTTGCAGAAACTACATCTGTTTGTCTGTTTGCAGTCAATTAGACCCAGTTTGGTTCAGCACTGGCTTTTGTGTGTGTGTGTGTGCACTGTTTATTTATTTGATTTTTTTTTTTTTTTTGCACATGTGCTCTCTTGGGACTGGAGGTCTGAGGGAAGGCTTCCACTGAAGCTGCAAATTTTTTCCCTCGCCCCAGTTTAAGAAGCTGTGGCGCTCCAGCCCCTCTCATTAACTCAGAAAGCGTTTGCTTGCATACTGTGGTTCACCACTCTGCTGTTTACAATCCCCATCACTTCAACTTGGATTTAAAACATGATGGGCCAGAGAAGCAGGTTGCAAGCTGATTTTAGGGAGCTGCTAGGCTTTTCCAGTAGAAAAAAGAAGAAAAAAAATCTACAGAAGACTACCATGTCCTAATTCTAAAAGGCTTAGCTTCTTGGGAACCTCTTCAGCATTAATGATGTATAATAAGGCAGATGATTAAGGTGAAGGCAGCTTGGGTTACTCTGAAGTCTGCCCTTTTTACATAAGGAAAGCTTCTTTTAAGCTTCGAAGCTACCACATAAATGCAAGCTGCTATATTTGGTGGGATTAAAAATTCCTGCCCGTCTTTCTTCCAATTTTTTTTTCCACTTGCAGACCCACAAATCCAGACACGCATGAATTTAGACGGTGGGAGAGTGAAAAGAGTCGACGTACAATACAAGAGATGCCGCTCAGGTCCTTTCATCCTGAATGCTATAGCGAGCCAAAGGGCAGAGATGTCTCAGAAGGGCTAATTGGAGGCGACACAACTGAGAAGCTCAGTGGGCTGTTGCATGTATTGTCTTCTGTCACTTCCAAAAGAGTGCACAGATATTCTGGCGGGTGAGGGTGGTTGAGGGAGATAGCAATTGAAACATTCGGCATTCGCTTCTTATTAGCAGTGAAAAACCTGCAGAGTCCTGCAGGGAAACAGGCGGAGATGGGGGGCTGAGAAGTGTGATCAGATATTGTGATTAGCGGGAGCAGGGAGAGGAAGTAAATGTGATGAGCAGCAAAAGTGAAGTGTGAGCCTAGCGCTTGGCTGTTTGATGGTGGGGCCGTGCAATGCATCCTTCTGGGTATTCCTTGATCCCCTTGTGGACGATTAATTAAAAGCGTTTTGCTGTAGGATGCTGTTGCTGTTAAGGGGGCTGCTACAAATAAAATATCAGGCTAAAATCTTGCTATATATCATATTTTCGTGGAACAGATTAGACCTGAAAGGTTTCATTAGTTCTTCATATGATTAACTGCAGCTCCCGACAGGAAAACTCCACCATTGTTTCATCGCAGCACAATGAAGTAAATGTTGCTCCAGAGTCTTTTCCTTGCTAATGTCTGTGGATTTTTTTCGCAGCATGGAGCATCCTCAGATTCATAAATCAAAGGCTTGAGAGCTTCAACTGATTTACATTCGTTTCCTCTTTTGCTTTGCAGCTTTTTTTTGTTTTGTTTTAGTTAAACACACGCGCACTCTCTGGAACGGATGTGGCACAGGCGAGTGGTTTAGACATTTAGAGATTCTTGACTTAGATTTGGTTGTCAGGGATTTGGTCCCCCTCTGCCTCCTGCAGAGGCCTGCCCTGTCTTTCTGGGCACTTCAAGCAGAACTGCACAGCAGGAGGAAAAGCTGTTTTAGGTTTGTTTTTAACAGCCAGGATTTAGGCCACCCCAAACCTATTTTCCTCTTATGCACTACCTCTGTTACAAAGTTGATTTACAGTAGGTTTAATACAGCATTTATATATTTTGAACCTTTTAAATGCAACAACCACAAACGTCAGTGTAATTTGTTGTTTTTTTTGCAACAGACCAACAAAAAAAGCACAAGATTACACAAAAAATTACACATGGAAGCTGGTTAAAGTTAAATCGGGGCTAGGATAGAGCTAAATACCAGGTAGATCTCTATGAAAAACAGTTTTTAGCTACGAAAGACAAGATCACACTAGAGGACTAGTTTCCAACAGGTTAAAGAAACCTACAGCTTCACCTGATTGGTTAAAGTGAGGGTTATCAAAATCCAGGTCTCTGCATCTTGTGTCCAGTAAGTGTCCCTGCAGCAGTAAGCTCAAACATCATGGTTGAAAACGTGTCATGGGATTCCTCCAGAAGCCTTCTAATAAATAAATCATCTGAACTCTTTTGATATTCATATATGTTGAACCAAAAAAACATCAGAAACATGAAGGACACTGACTGATGTTTTCAGGTTTCTAATATTTTAACTGAATATGAGAAACAGTGCTAGATTTCTTATTTAGTTAATTAGAAAACTGCACATGCTAAATGCTGCCTGTGGTCAAAAAGACACCACCCGCATGGAAAAGACGCTGGAGCGGCATCGTGCTGTGGGGACATCTTTCATCAGGAAGGCTAATCAGCTTATTTTTCAGGTGTCCAAGATTTGATCTGATCATTTCATCTGAAAGTTACAGATATTTCTGATTGCAGACTCTCCAGAGCTCTTTGGTATCTGAGCTTCCTCTTAGTTGGTGTAAATAGCCTGTGGAAATCATTTAATGAAAACCAATAAGCAGCTAAAGCTAAGGCTTTAAAACAGATTTAATGTACAGCTGAACTTCATATAAATAGTTTTGCTAAGATGGAAGGAGAGAGTCTGGAGAAAAGATGGCTGTCTTTATGATTCAGTGTTAAGTTTTTTTTTTTTTTATAATTTCTCTTAACTATTTGCTGAATTATCTTCCTCCTTGGTGACAGTTCTGTCGAATGGATTTGACATCTTGTAACTATTCTTACCTCTCAAAAAATTCCTTTAGATTTAATGCTCAATATTTTCATTGATGTATAAAATCTGCAGATGTTGCAATATGCCCGAGTCCTCGCTGTGGCGACCTCTCAGAATGATTAAATAGATTAGTTTCAGTAACATGTGTTAACAAGTTCAAACATCTGGATTTTTGTTTCAGATTTCCAAAACTTTACTAAGACAGCCTAATTCCCTTACTGTCTGACTGGCTTTAATTGATTTATACCATAGACTTGATGCCAAAGCCAGTCATAATTTAACTGTGTAATCTTAAAATGT